CATCGGGCTCCCTGCTCGGCCGGAAGCCTGCTTCTCCCTCTCCCACTTCTGCTTGTGTTCCTTCTCTCACTGTCTCTCTCTCTCTCTGTCAAATAAATAAATTTAAAAATCTTAAAAATAAAATAAAATAAAATATTAACTCAGGTGTCGATTCCTCCAAGAAGCCTTCCCAGATAACCCTCCCCTCTCGTTTCCTACCATAGGGTCCTCCATCATTAAATCTAATGTCTAAATAGCTATGGAGGTGTCTATTTCCTCCTCTATTTCCTATTAGAATAAAGATCCTTGATGCCAGGGGACCATGTCTCATTTGGTTTGACATGCCTACTGCCTAGGATGGAGCTGATGCTCAAAGACTAGATGAATGAAGGACTGCATGACAAACAAATGGGTGTTGACTGTGGTGCTTCTGCACTGGAGCCCTCAGAATGAATAGAATCCTCCCCCACCTGTTACTCCCTAGTACATGGGCCCAGCCCAGCAGTCCCTCAGCTGCATCATGCTTCCCATATATAGAAGCTGCTTTACTGGTGTCGTGTTTTCATCTCGGGCCCTGCTAGGTAGGATATCAAGTACTTACCATTTAACAGTTGTCCGACCCTAGCCCTTCATCTTTTCTAAGCTTCAGTTTGCCATCTGTAAAATGGGCTCTATTATAGTATCCACTGAACAGAACTGCTATGAAAACTGAGTGGAATAAAATAAGGTGTGTGGTCAGAACTCAGTAAATGTTTGGAGTAACTAAGCTATAAAGCGACCGGTGCTGACAAGAAGTACAAAGGGAAGTGCAGTGGTGGTACAGAGGCAAAAATGTCCTTGAAAACGGTTGCCTTGGGGCGCCTGGGTGGCTCAGATGGTTAAGCGTCTGCCTTCGGCTCAGGTCATGATCCCAGGGTCCTGAGATTGAGCCCCGCATCGGGCTCCCTGCTCGGCGGGGAGCCTGCTTCTCCCTCTCCTTCTGCTGCTCCCCCTGCTTGTGCTCTCTCGCTCTCTCTGTCAAATAAATAAATAAAATCTTAAAAAAAAAAAAAAGAAAACGGTTGGCCTTAAGGAGCACAGCCTCACCACCCCCTAAGTGTTCCTTGTATAATCAGTAACTCGGGGAAGCTCTGCTGTTGTGGGTTTATTGTGTTGCCACAAAAGGCTTCCATTTGCTTGCCAGTCTTACCTGGTGTATAAGACAAACAAGAGGAATGGGACAAAAATCAGTGCACCTAGGCCAGGGTTTTCCAAGACTTCAATGAGGCTCCTGGAGAAACGAGGCATTTCCCTCCTGCTGCCAAGTTGTATTAGTGGGAGAGAAGGCCTAGTTCATCATCTCATGAAATGAAATTAGGTACAAACACATCCTTTCCCAGCCCAAATCCAAAAGCCAATCTTCAATCCAGCTTAGGAATTAGGAGGTGACAGTTTGGTGATTTGAGCCTACCTATGAAGAACCCCAGGACTGGAAGCCAAGAGTGTGATTTCTGGCCCTGGTTTCTCCGTGGCCAGGCAGTCATGTCCGTCTTCCCTCCCCAGCACTGCCTCGCTCACGGGAGTGTTGGCAAGAGAACAGGGGGGCGCTGGAGCTTTCTCTGCTTCCATATCAGTCAACAAATATTGGATAGGTAGCTAGAGTGCCCAGTCCCATGCTAGGTCCTTTGGGCAATCTTTGCAGATTTAAAAAGGAAGTACACTGAATAGCAAAGGAAACCATCAACAAAATGAGAAGACAACCTACAGAATGGGAGAAAATATTTGCCAATCATATTCTGGTAAGGGAATAATATCCAAGATATATAAAGAACTCATACAAAAAAAAAAGAACTCATACAACTCAATAGCAAAAAAAAACAATCTGATTAAAAAAACAGGCAGAGGAATGGAACATTTTTCCAAAGAAGACATACAAATGACCAACAGGTATATGAAAAGGCATTCAACATCACTCATCACCAGAGAAATGCAAATTAAAACCACAATGAGATATCACCTCACACCTGTTAGGTTGGCTAGCATCAAAATAAAAAAACAAGCAATTACAAGTGCTGGTGAGGATGTGAAAAAAAAAGGGGACCCTTGAGCACTGTGGGTGAGAATGTAAATTGGTGCAGCCACTGTGGAAAACAATATGGAGAGCCCTCAAAAAATTAATAATAGAATTATCATATGATCCAACAATGCCACTTCTGGGTATATATCCAAAGGAAATGAAATCCCTATCTCAAACTGACATCTGCACGCCATGTTCATTGCAGCATTATTTACAATAGCTAAGACATGGAAACAACCTAGCATCCACTGACAGATGAATGGATAAAGAAGATGTGGTATATATACACAATGGAATATTATGCAGCCATCAAAAGGAATGAGATCTTGCCATTTGCAATGACGTGGATGGAACTGGAGGGTGTTATGCTGAGTGAAATCAGTCAATCAGAGAAAGACATGTATCATATGACCTCACTGATATGAGGAATTCTTAATCTCAGGAAACAAACTGAGGGTTGCTGGAGTGGTGGGGGTGGGAGGGATGGGGTGGCTGGGTGATAGACATTGGGGAGGGTATGTGCTATGGTGAGCGCTGTGAATTGTACAAGACTGATGAATCACGGATCTGTACCTCTGAAACAAATAATACATTATATGTTAAGAAAAAAAAAAGAAGAAGAAGAAGATAGCAGGAGGGGAAGAATGAAGGAGAGTAAGTTGGAGGGGGAGACGAACCATTAGAGACGATGGACTCTGAAAAACAAACTGAGGGTTCTAGAGGGGAGGGGGGTGGGGGGATGGGTTAGCCTGGTGATGGGTATTAAAGAGGGTACGTTCTGCGTGGAGCACTGGGTGTTATGCACAAACAATGAATCATGGAACACTACATCAAAAACTAATGATGTAATGTATGGTGATTAACATAACAATAAAAAATTATTTAAAAAAAAGATGTCGTGTGTGTATACACAAACACACACACACACACACACACACAATAGAATATTTTCAGCCATAGGAAAGAAGGAAATCACACCATTTGCAACAACATGGGTGGAAGTTGAGGGCATTATGCTAAAGTGAGATAAACCAGATAGAGAAAGACTAATACTCTATGATCTCACTTATATGTGGAATCTAAAAAAACCAAACTTAAAGGAACAGAGAACAGAGTGATGGTAGCCAGAGGTAGAAGAAATGGGTGAAGGTGGGTCAAAGGTGCAAACTTCCAGTTGTAAGATAAATACGTCCTGGGGATGTGATGTACATCATGGTTACTACAACTAATAATACATCATTGTACATGTGACAGTTGCTAAGAAAGTGGATGTTATGTGAGGTGATAAATGTTAACTAAACTCTCCATGTTGCTCGGGCTACAGAACCCACACTCTTACCTTCTAGCCTGTTCCACCCACGCAGTAGCCTCTGGTCACATGTGACTGTTGAATACTTAAAATGTGGCTGGTCTGAACCGAGATGTGCTGTGGGAAATACACATTGGATTTCAAAGACCTGGTCTGAAAAAGAATCCAAAAAATCCTGTTGGTATTTATATTGATTACACATAGAAATTATATTCCAAATATATTTGGTTAAATGAAATGTATTATTATGATTGCTGCAATACCGTTTCTTTTCGCTTTTTTTTAACGGGGCTCCCAGAAAATTTAAATTACATTTGTGACTCATGTTATACACCTACAGGACAGGAGTGCAGTCCCGTACTATTAACCGCAGAGCTTTTGGTGCCAGCATTAAATCAGTCGAGACAAGGAGAGAACCTAGCGCAGTGCCTAAAACAAATTAAGCATCAAAAGCTATTGTTAATATTAGTAAGATGAGTGGTTTTCAAATTTTATTCTCAAGTTTGTTTTTCAAGCCATTTCTTGTAACATTTAAAAAAGGAGTTCTGGGGGCACCTGGGTGGCTCAGTCGGTTAAGCGTCTGCCTTCAGCTCAAAAGAAAAGACGTTCTGATCAAAGCAGAGAGAGCTTGGCGTCTCCCCAGGGACCCATTCACCCTGGGCAACACCTCCACAGGTTGGAAACCCGCATGGTTAAGTCATCCTAAAATGTCCTTGAAGCTCTAGCACCTTCAGAGAAGGTGAAGAGGTGATAGGAGACAAAAACCACGGTGTCTATCTATGGCAGTCTTTAAAACTGATCATGAACCTCAAAAGTTCTCACCAGAAAAAAGGAATGATGATCACGTGACATGATAGAGGTGTTAGCTAACACTCCAGTGGTCATCATATTGCAATACAGAAGTGCAGCAAATCGAATTAACACATTGTACACCTTAAGCCTACACAATGCTATATGTCAATTATATCTCGATAGAAGTTAATTAATTAATTACCCAAAACAAGACCATGGAAGAACACTACCGTTTTGCTTGGGAGAATCAAAGTGGTTTGGTCCTGGGTCTAGCTAGACACAGTCCAGCAGTCGGGGTGTCATGAATGTGAATGGGAGGAGAGGGTCACTGCGGGTCCCCAGATCATTAGCGGCATATACAATACCCATGCACCACAGCGCTGTTCTACCTCTGCCCCTCACAACTGCTGACTCCCCACCCATCCACGACCTGGGGAAGGCTCTCAGAGCTGACCCTAGGCACCAAGATGCCTAGGTCCAGCTCCGGGGAAGGGCAGCAAGTGATCCTCAGCCCAGACACTACAATGACTCTGCTGTCCTGAAGGCAACTCCGGGCTGTCAGCCCCAGTTTCTGCCATCCAGGCCTCCCAGCTCTTCCAGCAGCCCTCGCCCCTGGCTCTGCTGTGTGTGTGTGTGTATGTGTGTGTGTGTGGACGGGGACAGCAGCCAGCTCTCTAACAAGTTCCACGAGTCTGTTTGTTAAAGAAAAATTCCAGTGGGTCCATCCAACACATGGAACTCAAGTACAGAAATTATATTTATCCACCCCACTGCCAAGGAGATCACATGCCCCATGAGTCACTCCAGATGTGCTCAAAAACAGAGTCTGTCTGTGGAAGCCCAGTCCCCCAATCCCGGAGAGAGTCGAATTAGCAGAGGTCCCAATTCCTGTGCCCCCTACCCCCCCCTCAGGAGGTTGCCTCTGCCTTCACCCTTCTGGGGCAGGAGAGGGCATCTGTGCACGTCTGTAAAGGGAACGGGGGTACGAACTACATCTTCGTGCCAGGAGGACCAGTACGGGCATACCTGTAGCTCCCAAGGTCCCATTGGGTTTGAGGACAACTTTTCACCTTTTTAGAGGAAAAGATGTGCTGGAAGACGCTGCTGCTTCTGCTGTTGTGTTACGATGCCCAGGCTACTGTGTCCCACAGGTGGAACAGGGGTAAGTTGCTTTCTATTTGTCTGTTGGATGTTCATTACTCTTCCTTAAATACAATTAGGAATTTGGGGGAGAAGGAATAAGGTGGTGGAAGGAAATTAAAAACCCTGCACCAACCCCCCTCCTTTTATCTCCTCTCTGCCAATCGCTTTAAGCTTCTTGACATGTTAGAAGGTGCTAGAAGCTAATGAGGGATGGGACACTGAAAAATATCAAAGCCACTGAGGGAACTCGGTGGAGGTGAAGAACGCAGAGGGCATGCCTTTCTGACATGCCAGAGCTAAGTCATCTTTGCTTCCAAGAATGTGAGCAGACTCCCTTGAGACTCCCACCCCCAGCTGCTGCAGCCAAGCAGGGCATGTAAAGAGCAGGTACCAGGATTGATGCTAGTATCGTGGGATGGTGGGTGCTGGGGTGCAAAAGGCCTGCTACCTAGGGGACCCCGACAAGGGGCCCTGGGCATTGGCTGTCCACATGGAGGTCTCCATGCTGCTTCCGAGCAGGGGTGGACACATCTTTCTGGCTGGGGAGAGTTGGCCCAGTGGCAGGAGAAGAAGAGTGACCCTTTAGCATTCACTCAGGTGTGTGTCAGACAGCTACACCCACCTGTTCCCGAGGACCACCTCGGAAAGGAGGGAGCCTGGCAAGGCTGTTCCCTCATGGCTGACTTCCTTTCCCCTGGGACCCCATGGCATCTTTTCTCTATGCCCAGGACTGGCTCCAGTTGGCAGACACTGGTAGCATGTCCAGCCAATTAGAGTTGATCACTGCTGGGGACTGAGGGAGCAGCAGCGTGGACCACTCCGTGCAGAGCTCAACTCAACCCTCTCCGCTGCCTAAAATCAACTGAGGTCTCTCTCCCCAAAAGCACTGGAAAAAGAAGTCAGGCTCATAGGTGTTTCTAGAGATCCAAAAGAGGACACAGACTGGCATGGCGGGAGGGGTGGGTGTGGGGCTGAGCCTCCAGGTTCTCAAGGAGAGTGTTGAGGAAATAAGGGGCGTTGAGTGTGGACCAGAGATGCACAGAGCAAATGAATCTGACACGGGTGGGAAGCAAAAGCCATTCACTTATTTGGGTTTTATGACCTCAGTTTTAAGCTTGAGATCAGTGATTTGCCAATTCTCTGAGCTGAGCTGTGAAATGATTATTACCCAGAGGCAAATAATTAATGGAGCATTTTCCTTTTTTTTCTGGGAACACTACACACACACACACACACACACACACACCCCTCCCTGCTCGTGATGCGCACAAACTTTGGAGGCAACACTTAGGAGAGCAAAGAGACCTTGGCCTTACTTTCAACCACTTACCCCTGTGTGCTACTGGGGGCCTTCCCTAATTTGCCTATTAGAAAAAGATGATAATACCCACCCTCCCAATGCACAGGCTGTGAGAAAGCCAAGTGAGATCATTGGATTTGTAACAAGGCTGTAAACACCACAGCCACATCATGGGCAATCCTGCAAGAAACGCAGATTTAAGCTCTGCCTTTCATTGGCTGTGTGATGTCTGGCAAGTCTCTTAACCTCTCTGAGCTTCGGTTCACTAACGAGTCACATATTAATAACAGAGCTTATCTCCACTGCGTGTGGTGAGGGTCATATTCAAAATGTAAATAAAATGCTTTGTAAACGGTGAAGAAGCTTACCAGTGTGAATTATTACCTACCACTTAAACCAATGAAAAAAATTTCATTGAAGAAAGTTTGAGGTTCTCATTCCACAGAAGGTTCTATAGCAACATCCGGGGAGCTAGTGCTCTGCCCACCCCCTCCCTGGAGAAGGTCAGCCCCTAAATAATAATAACAAATCTATCTAGAGACAGGAAGCCAGCGCAGCTGGAACAGAGACTGTGATGAGGCAGCTTTGTTAAGTGCTAGATTAGCGGTTCCCGGCAGAGTCAACAAGCGATAGAGTCCCTCCAACCATCATCAAAAAGTCTTCCACGTAGTTGATTTTTTTTTTCATTTTTAACATTTTTTTCTAATTATAAAAGGAATACCCAATTGCCATTTTTTAAAGAGGGAATGGGAGTCACACCCATATAAAAAACAATTTTTCCGAATGTACTTAACTGTTCCCTTCGCCTTCATCCTTACCCCAACCCCCACCCACCCCAGCGCCAGGCCTAATTTAGAAGAGTTCCCTGTCGAAACAGCCTGAGAGCCACCTCTCCCTGCAGGGTCCTCCACCT